CACTATTCTCATATACTTAATTGTATAACGAAACCTGTAAGGTGAGAACTGAGAAGTGAGTCCTTCAACATTGTCATCCTCAGTAATCCAGCTATTTATGTTTAACAATCTGGACCGTAAAAATGAGACTGAGAAAATCTCATTCAGTCTGAATAAAGGCCTTAGAGTTAGACCATCCAACCTCAACAGTCAAAAATCAATTAAACCCAATTAATAAGATTAGATTGGGCCGAACTCTTCAAATCCGAGATTCAACTTATACGGTTATACCCATTACAAAAGCCCAAAACCAAAATCTGGTTTGTCATCTTCTTTCTACCCTACCTCCAACCCAATCTCAAAGTTAAGGTCGTGGATTTCTCCGACTTTCTTTCTCTTTTAGCAACAGTAACCGGTACAATGTCATCGCCGCTGCAATTTTCGCTTTCATCTCAAACCAAATTTGCTGCGCTTCCGCGTCTGTCAGTTCAATCAATGCCGTCTTTCCGTCCAAGTTACCACCTCGTCTCATTCCGTTCCAAGATCAGGCCTCTCTCCGTCAACCGCAACTTCGGGAAAAGTCGATTTCTTACCGTCAAGGCAAAGGAAGAGAGCAAAGAGAGCACCGAACAGGAGACGGTGGAGAAACAGGAACCGGTAGTGACGGATGAGGTAGGTGAATCGAGAGTCGAGTTGAGCGAATTGGGGGAGGAGATCAAGAAGGCGATGCAGGAAAGGAAGGAGGAGGCGGAGGGGAACATTTGGAGCGGGGTGGCGGAGGAGATAAGGCAGATCGAGTGGCCGGCATTTGGTAAGGTTTTGGGGACCACCGGTGTCGTGCTCGGTGTTATTGCGGGATCGAGTGTCGTTTTGCTTACTGTCAATGCCGTTTTAGCCGAGCTCTCTGATCGCGTTTTCTCGGGCAGAGGCGTTCAAGATTTCTTTGGCTAAAGCTGCGGGGCAGCAAATGAGAATCTGACACCTGGCTCTGAAAATATCATAGGTTTTAAGGACCTTAATTTTGCAGTTATTCTAATTTGCCCCCTATTAGTAAATTTGTTTTGTTTTGTTCTGTTAGTGGCTGTCACTCAAAATCAATCAAAGAGAAGGTGCAAGATATGAATTGGACATGAACCTTGTCAATTTTTTTTAATTTTTAAATAAAGAAATAAATTTTAAAATTTTTTATTTAAAAATATTAATCTTTATTTTTTATTTAAAAATTATTTGAATGGTAAAAAAAAATTATCACATTACTATTACTATTTAATTAGTATTTAAATAAAAAAACAAAGTTATTACTTTTAAATAAAAAAAATTAAAAATTTATCACTTTATTTAAAAATTGATAAATTTACTTTCTTAAATAAAAAATATAAAATTCATATCTTTATTTGTACTCTTTTTTTTTTCACAAAATCAAATTAAGAAAAAAAATTAGAGGGATAAACTTGCACATATCAGCAGGCAAAGGTAGCAATAGATAAATATGTAAAAGCTTGATTCCAGTATAGTATTTCAATAATTCTAATCTTTAGCTATAGAGATCACACAAACTCAAAATAATTTTATTCATTCTCATATCTATATATCTATTCACCTAGTAGATGCAAGGAAGTGAAGCTCAAGGCTCAAAGCTCATGTTCTCGGCCTCTTTTCTGACCGATTCAAAGAGCACAGATGATAGATACCTTTCTCCAAAGCTTGGAAAAATCACCTGCAAAAATTTACAAATTTATCAAAGTTTGGTGGTAATGAAAATTTTGAATCAATAAGATTTGAGAGACTCCATGGTCCATACCCTACTGGACACAAGAAATTTATAACATGATTATTGCTTAAAAGAGCACTTCTAATTTAAAAGGAGCAATTAGGACACTACCAGACTCCTATTAGTTACCATAGAAGGCATTCAGCAACACTGAATAGAAAAGAACCTTTTGTTTCATCAATGCTGATTTGGCTGTGGAGGGGATTTTTAAGATTTCAAGTCTTTCCAGGACCAATCTTGCTTTTATGACCCCATTTTTCTAGGTTCAGGTCAATCTGTACCTTTTCTTGTAGATAAAGCAAGAGGCAATGGTGCCCCTAACAATGTTTCTTCTTGGAGTCTTAAAAATAAGACATCCCTTAGGCTTCAATTAGATTAAAAAACTGGTCCTGTAAAAAGTTTCATAAATCAACAGGGGGAGCAATCAAACTTACGACAATGAGTTTTCCAGCATTCTCGGGTCTCTTAGCAATTTTAATTGCAGCAGCTGCTGCAGCACCAGATGATATTCCCACCTATAAAAGATGACATAGCCACCAGTCAACATGGTTACATGGTAGGAAGGCAAAATATAATTGGATGAGACAAATTCTAATGGGACAACATGTAAGCAGCACTTTTAAACTTCAATCTTAGAGATTTGAGAGTGAGGGAACACACAAGTAAGCCTTCCTTCAGTGCAAGAAGCTTTGCAGTTTCAATTGCTTCATCACTTGATATCTGCAAAGTAAATTAAACAAACAGGTGAAAAGTTGAGGCCATTACAATTCATTAAAAACTACTATAAATCAGAAAACTAAAATCACTATATATTATCGTGTGTGATGAAGAATAGTTTAGATAAAAAGGAGATGGAGTTAACACACAATTGACTTTCAAATAGATTTAAGATTAGTCAAAAGATTCAAAACACTTAAACCTTACCTGAACAACTTCATCAATGAGACCAACTTCCAAAACACCAGGGATAAAACCAGCACCTATTCCTTGGATCTTATGTGGACCTTCAAATTAATATCAGAGCATGAATTTAGAAATTGTTTGCAAACCAAGATAGTTTTAAACTCATAAAAAAGAGATAAATGCTAGGGACAGAGACCAGAGTGATTGCTATTAGAGGAATATATTCAATTATGGAATGTGATATTATTGAAATAGTGGCACAGGATGAAAGGAACCTATGTGCCTAATAAGGCTGGATCATATAGGATATATTCCAAATTACCATGTAATCAGTTGAGAAGGTGAAAAAACCGTAAATCAGCATGTATATAGAAAAAGCCAAAAAAAACAAAAAAAAAAAATCCTGTTTTAGAGCAAAGTCAGAAGGACTATGCTCCTCATAATAATGAAACTGACAACATAAAAATAAGATCTTGCATCAAGGAAATAAGAAACAAGATGCTTGCACAGCAACAAACATGTCTTCAAGAACTTGTGGCCAAAACTGAGATTCTAATTGCAGACAAACTGAAGCACGTTATCCATGGATGGCCAAGATCAGGAGTTGAAATATGAAGCTAGAGAATGAATGATTTATGAAACACCAAATTCACCTCCTCATTCTGTTTTTGTGCAATTACTACACCACTAGCTTATGGTAACAATAAAAAAGCACACCTACAAAGAGATCATGACAATTAAAGACCACAACAAATTAATGCTTAAAAGATATTTAACATCCAATACACCCCACAAAAGGCCTATCCAGTATAACAGTTTCAATAAAAAAAGATAGCTATTTTATGGTACATCTTAGGTCTAATAAACATTTGCCTCAACCAATGGTGTTGCAGAAGATGCACACTGCAAGAACCAGAATTTGTGAATACAACTTAACTCACCAGGCTTTCCTCCAGAAAGAACAGGACTTTCAACTGGTTCCACTCCATATAGCTACAGTGAAAAGGAAAACCAATGAGAAGATTGATCATGATGAATGACCAGATTATGATATAGACAAATATTTCAGTTTTATTTTCTCAGACTTCTTAAGATACACAATAGAAAGTTTTATAGCAGATTGACATATATAATGAGAGCTCAGGATACCTTTATATTGGGGTTCTGCTCTTTAAAATATTTTCCTGCACCTGTTATGGTACCTCCAGTACCTATCCCAGAAATGAATGCATCAATTTTGCCTTCTGTGCCTTTCCATATCTCTGGTCCAGTAGTCTCATAATGTATCTACATAAAATTGTCAACTATTACTTCACTTTACATTTCCAACCAACAATTGCATCCCCAAAATGTAGATTAAGAGAATACCTTTGGATTGGCAGAGTTTTCAAACTGCTGGAGCATGTATGCATCAGGTGTCTCAGCCAAAATCTCCTCTGCCTTCTGCACAGCACCCTTCATTCCCTTAGCTGGATCGGTAAGAACCAACTCAGCTCCAAAAGCTTTGAGAATTATTCTTCTTTCAAGACTCATGGAAGCAGGCATTGTGATTATAAGCCTGTAACCCTTGGCTGCAGCCATAAATGCTAATCCTATCCCCGTGTTTCCGCTTGTGGGTTCAATGAGGACACTCTTCAGAAAACATACACAGATCATCACAGTCACTATCAGCAGAAATACAACATCTTAAAAAATTTCCTCAGACAACAAAATTCTCTTTACATCATTTCTCCCTGTTAAGGTCATGACCAAGTAGATTGACCACATAGCTATTTATGATGTAGAAATTTAGAGATCCACTCAAATAATATCCTCCAACTCTAAAGTTTTAGATTACCAAAAAAAAAAAAAAAAAAAAAAAAAAAAAAAAAAAAAGAGAAAACCTGGCCAGGGGTGATAAGGCCCTTTTCCTCTGCATCTGCAATCATACTATAACCAATCCTGCACCATTAAGACACAATTAGCAGGATTAAACTAATTTTATTAAAAAAAAAAGTAATAATGAACACCAGAAACATCAAATACAAAAGAACCATATTCAAAATTTGAATTAGCATAATAATTACTATTCTTAGGATGCTAATACACTGGAGAAATAGAAAATTTATGATACCTGTCCTTGACACTAGAACATGGTTCCATCAGCTCAAGCTTGGCAGCAACACGAGCAACACAACCATCCACAATCCTATTCAGATATACTAATGGAGTTTTACCAATCAACTACACAACACAAACCAAAAAAAAACAACATAAGCTGAAGAACCCATTACAGAGAAAGACAAAATATCCTCACCAACATAAACAATATACTTAAAAAATAAAAAAAACAAATAAAATAAATAAATAAGGGACTTACTTCGGTGACATCTTTGGCAATTCCGAACCTTTCAACCGCCATATTTCCCAAGAACTGCTATTCTCAAAACCAACAAATGTAGACGTCTCAGCTCAGTATTTCGTCAACATAAAAACGAAGATAGAATCATATTCCTCTTTCCACTCCAGTCAAAACAAAACTTTCTCAGCAACCAAACAGAGAACAGATGTAAAAAAAAAAAAAAAAAAAAAAAAAAAATTCTCTTTATTTGTCCTGATGTAATTTGCACAGAATATAATGAATTAACCAGATAATTAGACAAGATTTTTTTCAGGGAATGCATCAATTTTAGAAGGAATAATCGGAGATGATTTCCTCCTATTCAAAGGAGGAAGAAACAGAGAGAAATGGAAATCACCTCTGAGGATGAGCTGGAATGAGGTTGTCGTCAACTTTAGAGTTCTCAGTGTAATGAACTACGGATATCTGATATATAGACGTCATAATTCACGGAAAGAAAATAACGTTTGAAGTATGGTCCTGTAGATCAAAGTAAAAAGTTTTGGTTTTTTAAATAAAATTTTGCATTTAAGTTTTATAAATAAAATAAAATATTAGATGAGTTTTTTTTTTTTTTTTATGGATTTTGATTTAATTTTGAATTGATAATATGATTTTTAGATATTAAGAGTTTGTATTTGAAAATTTTTTTATCTAATTTGTGTATTAAATATATTTTTATTATAAATTTATACTAAAAATTAAAAATTTTCTTTTCTTTTTGAAAATTTTGACACGAATGGGTTGAAATTTGCCCAGAGGAAGGGGGAATGCACCTAGCAAACTGGCTAATGCGAGTGAGCCTCTAAGTCCAGATGCTACTAAAAATTAAAAATTAATTGTTAATTTATAAATTATTTAATCAAATTTATCTAATATTAAATTAATATTAATTTTTATATTTTTTATACATATATCATTATAAAAAAATGTTTTTAATCTGAAACTCTGTTAGAAAAATTCATTAAAAAAACCAAAATAAGAATTTCCTGACATAGGGACATACGTGGATGAATGTACCCGGAATTGAGGCACCGATCAACAGTTGAATTAAGGCACCCAAATTACAATAAAACCATTTGCAAACAAAGAAGCGTGAGCCAGACATTTTTATTTGGATTGGATTTTTTTTCTTTTTTTGTAAGATTAAAGTAAACGGGATTTTTCATGCATAACTTTCTTTATACATAAAGAACTCCGTTTACTTTTCAATTTTCAATTTTTATATTTTTAGAAATTAATGCTATATTTAAATTAAATTTAGAATATAGTGTTT